AAAAAGAAAAAATTGATTTTACTATTTGACTCATTTAACAGCATTTAAAAAATATCTATTATCTAAGTACTAATTGAAAGTGTCCCTACAAATAAAAATTAAATCATATATGTATTTCCTTTTATTTAATTTTCTTCCTCACTTTTAGAATTTATAATAATTACTTATTTTATATCCATTTAATCTAATAATACTTCAATCAATGGTGACTTCACATGTGGTTAAAACGCTCATGTAATAAAATATAGACACAATTATTGTTAGTTTAACTACCTGTTCCAATCTCTAGTTTTCGGTACAATGAACTCATGTATTTTTTTTTTTGCCAGCTTAAGATGAAAAATAGCTAATACGTATATAGCTTTTTTTCATAATTATAGATATTCATTTAACGTAATTCACAATACAAATTTATATTGAAATTGATCTGTAAAATATGAAAATAAAGACCTTTACTATTATTACTATTATTATTTATTCTGAAAAAAAAAAAAAAAATATGAATAAAAGTAGGGGGATAAGAAGGATTGAAATATTGAAAAAAAATTATAACTCGGAAACGAAAAACGATATCAAATTGAAATCTGATGGGGGTTAATGGGGTCTGTTAAACTGTGAAATGTTTAAAATAGAATGTCAAAAATTGTACATGCTTCTTCCAGTTTGTTTAACTTATGACATAACTATAAAGAAAAAATATTATTTTTTGTATAATTGTTTAAAATTTACATTGAAAACCATGCAATACTAAGTTACCCCTAAAAATAAAAAAAAATCCGGTAACCAAATTATCTAAAAAGGCCCATTTAAGGTAATTAAACAACATGAGTCAATTCTACACTAAGATAACTTAAAGTAAAAGCCTTGAAAACTACTTAAAATTAGTTTCTTTACTAGACAATGCAAAACATAAAAAATAATTATTAACACAAATTGAGAATTAACGAAAATTAAACCGTTTAAAGATAATTAAAAGTTATTTTCTCGAAGTTACGTTTTTTTTAGGTTGCCCTAATATTATTCTACAATAGCGATAATTAGACTTATTAAAATAATTGGCTTATGAGTTGCAACAAATTTGAGAAATAAGTAATACTTATTAAGGGAATTGAATATTACATTTTTTATTAGTTGTTTCCATTTCTACCTTACTTTTTAAATTAGGTAGGTACTTATTTGTCCATTAAAGATTAGTATAGTTTTGTTCCTTTGATTATATCATAATATTCATAAATACATTTTAAATAAAATTCCCCAGTATATTATTTAAAATATTTTCATTTATAATTTAAAATATTTTGAAATATCCACTTTAATAATAAATATTGTGACTATAAAATCGTATAAATATGTTTTTCGGAAAATAATTTCACCAACTTTTATTAGGACGTGTTTTCTTATTCTAATAATCAATATAATTAGAGTCAAAAAAATTAAATTGGTTGATCATAAATAAATTTGAATAGTTACATACCATTTTCTTCGTACTTTAATTTCTGGATTGGAGCAATGTAACTAGCGTAGGTATTTATCCTACTGAATCACGTGTATTTTCTGAGTGTTAAGAAGAATTTTCTAAGGAGGGGATGCAAAGTCACATCAATAGCTTAATAATAGAACAGAATTTAAATTTTCTCTTTTAAATTCTACGATACGAGTGACATACTTAAAACTGATTTAATATGTGCACATGTACAAGAATTATTTAATTAGGTTTCGTACTCTGTTTTATTCAACAAAATGGGTTATTTTTTTATTTTGCCCAGTAATAAATTAATTTTTAATATTTTGATTAAGGGTTTTAGTCTTATAAAACAGGAAGCCTTGTTGGATTTCTTTCCTATTTAGAAAACATCAAATCAATGCGAATATTTTCTATTTTTAAATAACTTCATGAAGATTAAAATAATAACAAATAAATACAGTTATTTAGTTGATATTAATAGCTACAATAATATTACTGTCTAAGCAACATATTAATGGAATTTAAAAATATTTTTAAATTTGTTATTAAAATTTATAATTAATGATAAAAATTAAAATAATAATGTAGATTTTATTCCAAGATTTTAATAAATTTCCAATAATAGTAATTTAATAATAATAATGATAGGCTTCTTTAGATTTTTGTGAATAGGAAAAGTGTATTTTTTATATCAGAGTCTGACGAATTCATGTTCATTTGTTGTTTTGATAAAGATAAAGTATTTAATTATTAAGAACACGTTTTTTTAATAAAAATCAAGTACCCAGTTCAAGTATAAGTAAAGAAGAGTAAATTAACTTAATTACCCAGAGGACCCCCCGGCCCTTTTCTAATGGCAAAGTGGCGTTCCGTCAAATGTAATAAATTGTGAATATGATGTTGTACACTCGACTTTTTGACCAAAAGTGTTTATTTATTTAATCATATAACTAGTTTTTAAAATACAGGGTGTTAAAGTCGAGAAATCGTATTTCTTGAAACTACGTAACTTAATTAAAAAGAAAAAAAAAAGCATTTTTAGTTGATTGTAGCATTAATATGTGCTAGTCTAAACGCACACGCACACACATTAATAGTTCAAAATGTAAACATATACAGGGTGGTACTCAGTTACATCAAAGGGAATTTTTGAAATTCTGAAAGATTCTGCTATGGAATGAAAACATGGTCAAAAATAAAAACTTACATAATGTTTACTATTCTGACATTATCTAAACCCATTTTACATTATATGTATACAGGGTGATTGGTAATTCATTCCACAGAAAGGCGTTTCTTAAAAAAAAAAATTACACTCTGTATATTTGGGAATTCGTTATTAATATTGATAATGCATTTCATACCTAGAAAACAATACTTTTTATGGAATATAGGGTGACAGACACATCTAATTCGTTTTTGATGCAGCAATAATTACAGAAATTATTCATTTTTCAGAATCACCCTATATTTTTCAATTCGATCCGTCAAAATGTACGAACTATTCATTTTTGTTATTAGCTTTGAACAATTAATAATTTTATATAATTTCATAATTTTAGTATGATCCGTTTTTGAGATTCCAATATATAGTGAACCATATTAAATATCAGACATATCCACTCATGTATGTAGGTATAATAAAGTCCCATTTATGAGTACAAAAATCGTAGTTTACTATCGGCTAAATAAAAAGAAACAGAAATGCAAGTGGATAAAAATATCGGATAAATTACGTTACCGTAGCAACGCTGGTATTTACTGTTCGTTTATAAAAGCGTTGCGCGTTCGCATCAGTGACAATTGTAAAGGTCAAAAACAGAATTAAACAGCAATTAATATTCCTCATAATATTTCAATAAGTATATCGATCACCATGTAAAATGGGTTTACATAATGTCAGAAGTTTTTATTTTTGACCATGTTTTCATTACATATTAAAATCTCTTAGAATTTCAAAAAATTCCCCCTGATGTAACTGTACCACCCTGTATAGGTTTACATTTTGAACTATTTATATGTACGTTTTCGTTAGACTAGGACATATTAATGCTACAATCAACTAAAAATGCTAATTGTTTCTTTTTAATTAAGTTACGTAGTTTCAATAAATACGATTCTCAACTTTAACACCCTGTATTTTAAAAACTAGTCATAGGATTGAATTGTCTCGTAAACACTTTTGGTCAACAAGTCGAGTACAACATCATATTCAAAATTTATTACATTTGACGGAACGCCACTTTGCCATTAGAAAAAGGGCGGGGGTCCTTTAAGTACAATTACTAAATTCCACGAAGGTTTTAAAGTTTAAGTATTTACTTAAGCTTGCATACTTAAAACTAATTTAAAAAGCAACGTAAGTATGTTTTTTAATTCTAAGTAGTGTTCGTAATAAGCTACCAATGAAATTATTGCTTAATAATAATCTACATTGGATATATTCGATATATGGAACACAAGCTACCCATAGGTTAGCCAAAATGTCTGGCAGTTTTCTTTAAAAAGGAATGAATGTTTAATAATAAAATTGTAGGGGATTGCATTTTGCATTTTTTTTAGAGGACATGTTAAATTTATGCGACGTCAGCGTTTATTAGCGTACCGCCGCCATCTTGAATTGTTTTAAACGGCAACGTAGGTCGAAAGTTATATCAGAAAAAATTATTTTTATCCTCTTTTCAAGAAGACTAAAAAAAGTACCACATTACTAATGTAATACAGTCCCATTCATCACCGTAAAATAACCTGCTGCTAGACGTTTTTGTTACACTGTATGTATAAGATTAGAGTAGAGTGGGAGAAGAGGACAGAGAGAAGAGTTGAGTAGAGTGGGATAGAATGCATGGGGTAAAGTGAGATAGAGTAGAGGTAGAGTAAAGTGGAGTGAGGGGCAAAGTAGAGTAGAGTGGGGTAGAGTGGGAGGTAAAGCGGGTTGAAGTGGGATAGAGTAGAAGTAAAGTGGGTGGTAAAGCGGGAGTAGATTGGGGGAAGAGTACGGGTAGAGTGGAGGAAAAAGTGGAGATAAAATGGAGGTTAAGTAAATGTAGAATGGAAGTAGAGTAGAAGTAGAGGATTAAATTGGGGTAGTGTGGTGTACAGCAAGGGGTGCGTGGAGGGTAGAACTGAGTAAAATATGGTGGGGTAGAGTGGTGGAGTAGAGAGGTGGGGGTAGAGTGGGGTGTAGAGTGGGAGTTAGAGGGGTGTTTAAGGTAAAGTACAGTGGGATAGTGGGGGTAGAGTAAGACAAGGGTATGGGTTAAAATGATGTAGAGTTAAGTAATAGTGGGATATAGTGGGGTAGAGTGAAGTAAAGTGAAGTAGAGTGGGGGAAGTAGGGTAGAGTGGAATGGGATTAAAAAAAGGCAAAAATGGCCACGTTCAATAGCTGTTTTGAGTAATCTATACAACCACTTGCATCGTTGTCAATTACATTGCTAAGCGTCAACTGTCAACAGCCAACTGGCAACAGCCAACTGGCAACAGCCAACTGGCAACAGTCAACTGTCAACTAAGAAATGTCAACTATCAACTGTCAAGTGTCATTGAATTCCTGATAAACATTTAACTGTAATCTTTCTAATTCTCTAGTTTTTAAAAGGTTTACTTCTTTCACGTGGTTCGACTCTAAAAATTTAACAAATAATTTATACCATATTTACTTTCAAATTCTTCCGTCTTCTTTTCTCAATTTTATGCTAGACTCTATTGTGTGTGCCCGTATATGTCTCAGCTTCACCTATCATTCAATGTCTTTACCTCTGCTTATCAGGTCCTCCTCTGCTGCTCTCAGCTTCCAATAAATACAATTATATTTTACCTTTTTAAATCAATCTCTTTATTTCACTTCTTCCATTTTTCAAAAAATATCATTTTATTAAATCTGTTTTATTATTTTATCTGACTTTTTCCTGACAATTTTCCAAAATCAAAAAGACCCGACTTTCTGATTTTTCACTTTAATTTTGATTTCTAGAAACTTCACACACACCAGTTTAATTCAATTTCGATAAAAAATTTTGATGACGTAAGGACTTTTTATATCAGTATATTACTAAAATAGTACAAAAATAGTACACAAATTTTAGATAAATAGTACAAAAATTGTTGATAAATAATATCTAAAAAAGTACAAAAATAGTACACAAATAGTACAAAAATAGTACACAAATAGTACACCAAATAGTACACAAATAGTACACAAATAGTACACAATAGTACACAAATAGTACACAAATAGTACACAAATAGTACAACAAATAGTACACAAATAGTACACAAATAGTACACAAATAGTACACAAATAGTACACTAATAGTACACAAATAGTACACAAATAGTACACAAATAGTACACAAATAGTACACAATATAGTACACAAATAGTACACAAATAGTACACAAATAGTACACAAATAGTACACAAATAGTACACAAATAGTACACAAATAGTACACAAATAGTACACAAATAGTACACAAATAGTACACAAATAGTACACAAATAGTACAACAAATAGTACACAAATAGTACACAAATAGTACACAAATAGTACACAAATAGTACACAAATAGTACACAAATAGTACACAAATAGTACAGACAAATAGTACACAAATAGTACACAAATAGTACACAAATAGTACACAAATAGTACACTAATAGTACACTAATAGTACACAAATAGTACACAAATAGTACACAAATAGTAACAAATAGTACACAAATAGTACACAAATAGTACACAAATAGTACAGATAATAGTACACAAAATAGTACACAAATAGTACACAAATAGTACACAAATAGTACACAAATAGTACACAAATAGTACACAAATAGTACACAAATAGTACACAAATAGTACACAAATAGTACACAAATAGTACACAAATAGTACACAAATAGTACACAAATAGTACACAAATAGTACACAAATAGTACACAAATAGTACACAAATAGTACACAAATAGTACACAAATAGTACACAATAGTACACAAATAGTACACAAATAGTACACAAATAGTACACAAATAGTACACAAATAGTACACAAATAGTACACAAATAGTACACAAATAGTACACAAATAGTACACAAATAGTACACAAATAGTACACAAATAGTACACAAATAGTACACAAATAGTACACAAATAGTACACAAATAGTACACAAATAGTACACAAATAGTACACAAATAGTACACAAATAGTACACAAATAGTACACAAATAGTACACAAATAGTACACAAATAGTACACAAATAGTACACAAATTGTACACAATAGTACACAAATAGTACACAAATAGTACACAATAGTACACAAATAGTACACAAATAGTACACAAATAGTACACAATAGTACAAATGTAACAAAGTACAAATAGTACACAAATAGTACACAAATAGTACACAAATAGTACAAAAATTAATTAATTTATAATACTCAAGCAATATTATAATTCACACTTCTTATTTTATTTCAACAATTTACATATACTAATTTATATTACATTTACTTTATGGATTTGCTCACTGATATGACTCGACTTCAACTGAACGAGTTCCTGTGCAAGACAGACCATTTATATGTAAATTGGTGTATGCGCTAGATTATTCATGTTCTCGCTATTTATTAGACAGGAGTCTCCGGCAGTTTCTCAAATTGACTTCTAGTATATTTCTGAGTAAATGATTCATACCTGCTAGCTTTGATCATATGCCTCCCTAGAGTTGGGTAAAGGGGGTTTATATCCTTTAACAAATATTTCTGATTTTTAGGACAAGTGGGGTAGTAACAAAGACTAAACAAGGCAGATGGACCCAAATGACCCAGAGCATGACCAGATTGCTCGGAAATGGCTCACATTGCAATACACATTACGAGTCCTAACAACAAAATGTTCGGTCAAACAAAAATTTATTTAAAAAACTACATTAACAATATATTAATATCTATCATTTGTGATATTTATATTTAAATAGTTTGTTTTAATACACATTGAAATACATTGTAAACGGATAAATAAACAAAAATATTGCATAATATTTTGACAATTAAATGTTCGGACAATTTCGGAACTTACTACTTTAATATGACGTTACATCGCCATTGCGGTTCTACAAGGGTGTGTTCTTCGTTTTAAAAGTCCGGGCGACCTACGGACTAAAAACAGTCACTAATAAACGTTCAACTTAAAAGCCTGTTTGTTCAGGTGTTTTTGTAAATGTCTTCCATTTTTGAGTACGTCTGTGTCTGGGACGACAACTTTCTACCCATCGAAGTTGGAAGGTTAAAAATCTCCCGTCATGCGCATTATTAATATTTATTTTTGCTTCTGTGTACATTTTTCTTTACTTGTTTGTATTATTAATTTTGAAAATATTTTTATTATTATTTATTAATATATAATATAGTATTGGATGAAAAAACTGCCTCTACAATATAGAAAGTAAGTGGGATTGTATTTACATAGGTAAATGATAGGCGGCTTCCTAAAATAGATTTAATTTGAGATTCTTAAAATGATATAATATATACATAATATGACCTATTTATAAAAACAACAAACATGTTAAAAGTGTCCAATTGTAAAATCTTAAAATTCGGTTCCAATTTATGCGACAAAGTGATTGTGACGTCATTGTGCACTTGTCAGTGTAAGAAGGCGAAATGGCCTGGTAAACAGAACGTAACCCAATACTGTTTAGAAATATTTATATTAATGAATGACATACGTCTGGGGGAAACTGCCATAATTCGTCCAATTTCATCTTTAAGTCGGCAAAGATCCTTTGGGAATCATTACGCAATTTTTGTTTCATTTTATGGCACAGTGTCTCGATAACGTTAAAGTCTGGATAGTTCGAATGCCATGTTATTGTCCCCAAACCTTTTTTTAATAGTTTTATCTATATGCACCACCATCCAGTTGAAATATAAAATTCTGTCCGTCTAAACTTTTCATTCCGATATATCAATTAATAGGAAAGATAAAAGCAAGTGGAATTATTAAACGGTTTGCTAATACCAAAAATCTTAGATACGCCACTGGTATACTATAAATGGGACTTAAGTGGAACTGTAAAACTAACAAGGATTTGATACAATCCCATATTTTTTTCCATAAACGAATTAACAGTAAACATATTAAAAAATATATTATCCAATATGACGGTCATTTTGACAGATAAGATTTTATGAAGATAATAATGTTTAATTTCGGGAATTGAAGTAAAGAATATATTTTGGGCACTCAGAAAGGCCTGGTTGAGCATCGTCGGTTTCTCCACTGGAAATACCTGAATGTAGATGATATCTATTTTTAATAATTTCTCTATGGGATAGGATTTAGAAAAAAAATAATTATGATGAGTACGTATGTACAAATATATCTTTATTAAACACCAAATATACAATTCATATTTCAAATTTTAAATAGCTTTATTTCATATTTTAAGAAAGATAGGCACAGCCGATATTT